AACAATCCATTACAATGAGTACTGTTATAATGCATTTGAACTTGAAATGTCAATGGTAAATATATAATCACATTTCATTCGACCCTCAACCAAGTTGCCACCATGAAAAACATGGAAAAATGGAAATTTGGGTCATTCAGGACATCGAAAAGTAAGTTCTCAGACCTAACCAAGTGGCACGATACGAAATCACTCTCAACAAAGAATTGGTAAAAACTTAAAGACATTGCATTCTGAATTTGGGTGACTTCTACCATCAAACTCTAGAAGACCTCACCAAGGTTGCTAACAATCTCTTTCGTTGCTTTAAGATGACCCTCTAATGCGATTATCCCTTCTTGAATAGCATTCATGTTCTTGTTTCAAAAAGAGATATCTACTCTTGAAGCCTGGTCCTGGACACCAGCCCTTGATCATGTTGCATGGCCAATGATGACATTAGATGGGCCACCAGGGCCAACATCTCAAACCACCTCATAAACTCAACCATGTCGGTCAAATCCGCAATTCAAAACTGACGGTAGAAGGACGACAACTATTAAGGCCAGCACCAGGGGACACATGCACAAAATAAGTTCAACAATCATCTCCTCGAGGCACCCAAGTGGCTTCGACGAGCTAACATAATTGCCATCCTCAATCACTGCCTTCTAGCCACTGTGAAATGGAGCATCCAAATAATGTGATACCTCATAGCCCATGAGCCTAATGAGACACTTGCCTAAGCAACCACAAGATCGATCGTCACTAACCCAAGTCATCACCTAAATATTCACTCGCCAAAAGCTATTCACTAATTTATATTAAAAAATCAAATAGAAGGAACAATATCAAAACTCAATAAAATAAATAGACATGCACTCCACCACTATTTGCTCACTATCAGGACAATCCACCTCTGGTCTACTCTCACCACAAAGGGAGCCACAGTCATTGAGAACACCCCGTGAAATAAGAAACATAGTGATTAGATAGAAATGGCCAAAAGAGCTACAAACCAAATGCGATCACTAACTCATGGATAGCCTCAATGCCATTCTATGGGACATTCACCACTAAGAAGATTCATTGAGAATACTCGGATCAATGTCATTGGCGAAGCCACCTCCATGATAGGGGCAATAACCTTAACTTTCTTACTAAGCAACTCAAGTTCAATCTTCATCTTTTTCCTTTCTATGCCTTCCAAATTTTATTTTTTATTTTTTCCTCTATATCAGCTAATATGGATTCATTGGAAATATCAAACTTTTGTATCCATCCTTTAACGTTACAGAGCTCAAAAGATAGAGTAAAAAATAAAATGCAAAAATCTCACATAACTCTCACTACATGAAGGAAGAAAATTCTAGTGGATGGAACCAAACTAAAATGAATATAATGGCAAAAAAAAAATCGCATCTATAAACAAAATTTTTCATTAAATTTTCCTTAAATTCTGATACCAGATTTTCCGTACTCATTAAATACAAAATTTTACATTAATGAAAATTCCACAAGGCGAATATAACAATGTACTCAATATGGAAGAGAAGCAAACTAGCTAGGAGAGGTAGACTAGGTATTGACCTTGCCTAAGCATCACTTGTTATTTTCTTATTCTCTTGTTCTTTTTGTAGATACCCTCTAAAAATACAAGAAAAATAAAGAACTAGCTTGCATAAATGAAAGCAAGTGCACGAGCTCACCAAGTCGAGCTCAAGATAACTCATCAAGTGAAGCAAGGAGCTCGCTAGCCTAGCTGAAAGCAACCTCGCAAGCCATATCTTAAACGTTCTCGCCAAATCCAAAGGGGGCCCTAGTATGTAAAAGGCTAAAGAGCCAAAGCAACCTTTTAGAATGTTGTGAGTATGATAGTAATAGCCCAAAGCAGTTATGATGACATCCTAGAAAATGATGATGGTCTTATCATGTAGTGTCCCTATTAGGGAACCAACAAAGGGAGGTATGTTGAATACTCTCCCAATCAACATAATTGAGATCAATCCAAAACACTGGTCCCACATGTGCCATGTGGCTGCCTCCCTTAGTAGCTTTGCCAAAATCAAAAAGTAGGAACGTCACATGATCTTATTTTGATGTCAAACCAACAATGGATATATATGAAACAACAAAAACCATTACTTAAAAGGAATTATCCAAGTCCTTATGCTACCAAGGGAGCTTTTACATTTAATATAAAAAGTATTCCTATAAAGCCTCGTACAACTTTATATGGATGACTATTAGCAAATTTGTGGAATACAACTCACAGTATAAAACATAAAATATAGTAAGTAGTAATCGAGAAGGGGAGAACCCAAACACCCCTTTTTGTACCTTCTAGCAATGTTAAAGGAAGAGGAAGATGCCATGGTTTCCACCAGAATTCCCTTGTCTCCAACCATCCCCTCTTCTCCCCTCTCGGCCATTTCCTTCACACTCCTAAGCTTTACATTTTAAGCATATCAATTTTTGTAAAACAATTAGTTTTTTTCTAAAAAAATAGATGATTATAAAAATATCATCACCAAAACCGTTATTATTATTCTTATCTCAAAATTTAGGGTTAGCTTTAATCACTTCTCCATTCACTACTATTGAATGTTACATAATATTTTAACTCCATCTTAGAGTGCCTTTTTGTACAAGTCATTATTTTTTTATACCATTTTGACTTTCAAATACTGCAACCTAATTCTATCAATTTATATTGTAGGTAAATCTTATGCCCTTCCTTTCATATGACTTTATCTTTAATAGATGACACTACTTGTCCCTAACCTATAATCATTCTTAACACATTTTTATTTTTATAGCATATCAATACTAAAATGCTCAGTTATAATGCACTCAACATAGATAAACTCACTTCATTGTTAGACAATGCTAAAATCCATTTAACAAAACCATTCTATATATAGTCATGCATAATTTAACTTTGTATCACTAGATATCTTCTTATCACATGGTACTCAAGAAATACTCACTTAAGAATGTATTTCTCTTGATTAAAAGAAACAAATCCAAAATAGTTCTTCAATTGCAACCAAAATAGCATTATGATGATAAAATAATACAAATGTCCGCAAGAAGACCAAAATAAGGTTTAAATATTCAAAATACATGATTTGGGTATCGAATGAAAGAATAACCACATTAAATTGAAGTAAAATATTAAATTAAAATTTGAAAAAGCAATAAGAAAAGTATGGATTTCCTTCTCATGTAAAGTGATCCCTTGTGAGAGCCCAAAGGAAAAAAAAAAAAGCCAAACAATGCTTAAATGTGTCAATGTGTCAATTGATAATGAAGAATGAACAACTAAAAAAGTTTGGAAAGTAAGCTTCACCATAATGTATAAAAATTTCCTTCACTTTCATATGATTCTTCGCTTTAGCAAAAAGACAATGTATTTAATCCACGGAAAAATAATATAAAATATAAATTGAGTTGCCAAAAATAATCATTTATAAGGGTAGAGCTACATGAAAAAAGATAAACCTGCTAGACTTGAACTATGATTAAGTCATTAATTTCATACCCAAGTAGATAGGGCATTCACCAATAAGAGACTAACATCAACAACCTCTCTTCTGCACATCACAGTGGATTTAAAGTGAAGCTTAAAAATCTAGCCATAGATGAATAGCAAAATATACAATTTCAAACATGTAGCTGTGTTTTGAACAATCCCAATTATTTTGCTCATCTTACTGTAACAGATAAGGAGCTAATTCATTCATTAAAATCTATAATATTAAGCAATGATGTTAGAAGATAACAACTCATAAATGATAAATTGGTTGTAATTCAATGTCATTTAGAAGTCTAAATTAAAAGCCATCTAACTGTTGTCACATCTCACCATTGCCTCCCAAATCTCATCCTTTGTCATTGTGATAGTGATCATCAACCTTTGCAGCCATTATAGACATCATTCTCACAAATGGTACGTATCATGTGCAAAATTTCTATCAGCAAACTTCATCCATGGATAGCTCCAATGTCAAATGCCTCCATGAAATAGAAGTTTTTTTCCCTTTTTGTCATCATCACTCCTCCCTAGTTCTCCTTTCCTTTAATATAATCATGTTCTTGCTCTTTGTCCCACAAACACCCTTTTCTTCTTAAAACATGTCCAAAGGTCTTATTTCCACACCGTAGATATTTCTATGAAGGGGAATGCCCAAAGTCAAGGAAGGGGAATGCCCAAAGTCAAGGAAGGGGAATGAATATCAATGTAGAAAGAGCTAAACGGGATAAACAGCATTAGATGTAGTTGCCCATGATTGACAACAGTAACCGGCAGTTTCCAGCAGCAGGAGTTTTTGGAAACAACGCTGTTGTTTTACTTTCACCAAACAAGCGAATGTGTAATAAAAGTTTACACATGTGTACTGGAGTTTATAGTCAACACTGCATCGATCTAATGTAATAGATATGACAATGACATTTTTGGAACAACTAAGACTGAAGAAAGCAAGCAACAGTTGACATAGAAAACTTGCTTCTGATAACACTGGCATCTTTAATAATATTTGATACATGACACAAAATAAAACAGCTTCTATGTTCCATGGGAGATCAAGAATAATAACTACAGAAAAGCTCCCTAAGTCTGAACCCGTAAAATCAATATATACCAAGTTTTAGAACAATCCATCCTTAGATAACTTAGAATACAGCAACTCACTCATATGGGTATGTTCGGATGACAGGCACCTGAAGAAAAAGAGACGAAATCTAGGAACTGTTTAACTTGATTATTGATATTGACTTCGAATATTTTAGTTTCTTGTTTTTTCCTTGGCCTCATTTTCAAATATTCGAAAGTAAAGCCCGATTAAAAGAAGTTAGGATTTCCACCCTATTCTGTGCTATCTCCCAGACAAAAGAACTCTCACAACCAAGCAACCCCTAAACACCTAAGTATGGCAATAATCCAGGGCGAAGTCGATAAAATCATAAAAATCTTTAAGCAATGTGATCGTTCTAGGGTTTTCACCAATAAAACATACCTAGCCATTCCTCGAGCTCGCCCAAAGATCTGAGTGACAGCAAGCACTGAGCTCAGTGAAAAGTTATTAAAAGGATAGAGGAAAATAAAGTCCTGGGACGACCATCAAATCGATTTTATCGATAAATATAAATATAAATAATAATAATGATAATAATACGAAACAGCTGTTGGCGGGAATGTTCCAATGACCACGAACCGGGGTCCAAGGTTTGCGGTTCGGCTGACTTAAACCGCACCTGATCAGCGATCGAACCGGATTACGAAGCTTGAGCTCATCCGCTCGGGGTTTGTTTGGCTGTTGCCTGTTAGCCAGACCGGAGAGGGTAAGTCATTCCTTCCTCGCCAAGAAAGCATACAGGGAATTGATATTTTTTTTGCTTGCTTGTTTCAAATTAATGAACAACGTTTTGAATATATAAAAGAACTACAGAAATTAAATGTATGCTTTATAGGCCAAACATCTTTATTCAATATTTGTTTGAAAACTCACGACATAAAATTATATTTATGTTAAATCTAAATTTATCCAAAAGGCACACTCAAGGGATTGAGTTTTTAGACGAGAAAATGAGAGAGTGGGAAAAATAAAAGAGAGAAGAGAGAAGAGAGAGGAGAGGAATGCAAAAAGACTTGCCCCTCTAGAATAAGATAGTGTATTTTTGGACTCTACTAACCCTTTTTTTATATAATTGAATGTTTTTGATGAATGGAGGGAGTGACGGGCCCAAAGTCCTTCCTATAAGAAGACACATGAGAGAATAGAGTGGACAAAAATCCTATTACAGTAAAAGACCCTTTTATTTATAGGATAAGGTGAGCAATGAAGAAAAATGGCATTTAAAACCACGCTTTATGGGGGATTGTTGATATGTAGATAAGTGTGCTAATATTTCTCTGTGATTTACACATTTCTATGGATGAGAATGCAAATTAAAGAAAAGTGTTCTTATGTTTTGTCTTACAGGTATAACAGATATTAAAAGTGAGGAAATGTGGACGGGACTTGGAGCAAAGGAGCTTAACTAACGACCAGTGCTTAAGCGTCGGACCCTGAACACCTAAGCGCCAATGGTCCCTTGGACAACCCGAGAGGTTGGCGCATGGGTGTCAACCACTGGGCGCATAGGTGCCCATCTCTTCTTTAGCAAATAGGCGCCAGCCCCTGCGCGCATAGGCATCAGTAACTGCCTGGAGTAGTTTTGGCAGCTCAGAAAGCCTGTCTTAGAGAGTTGTGGGAAGTTATTTAGGAGGTTTTGTGGTGTTTTTATGCTAAGTGATGGTGTGTGTGTGTGTGTGTGTGTGTGTGTGTGTGGTTGTATCAGGTTTTGCTCTGCTAGGGTTTGTGCACTGATGGCTCCTTCCCGGCGGCGCTGTGGGGCAAGGTGGTGGAGTATGGAGTTTCAACCTTAGGAAGACCTTCTGCCTTGGTTAGAAGTTCTTAAGTTTTGATTTGCTTGGGGCTTTCCCGGGCAACAACTATTTAAATTTTGGCTACTATTCCATTACCTGCTAAGCTTGGCAGGCTGTTAGTGTGGTTTCTCTTGCTTTTACTCTGATTCTCCTCGGTTGGTTTGTTGGTGGTGCTAACACTTTCTTGGGTTAGATTCTTCTTACCCGGTTACTGTTTCCTTGGTTTTCTATATCAATGGATTGTTCTGTTGATGTTGAAACCAATGCCCATTGGACTAAGGCTACATATGCAGGTGTAGTTGGCAGTGGGAATGATATACCTAAGTCGTTTGAATACTTGGTGTTTCCACGGGCCCTTCATGATGCTGCTGCGGGAAAGGGGATTTGTCCCTATGTTAACCCTTTAGGGATGAAGGATGGAAAGCCAGCCATTCTGTTTTCCACAAAAGAAATTCAATCCCTCAATGAATCTATTGAGTTTACTTTAATTGGCAAATTTCATTATGGACATCATAAGATGGATCATGTAAGGACTTTGAAAATCTTATGCTCAATGGTGCCTGGAAATTTGGCTTAATGGATGGTAGAAATTTGTTAATTAAACTATCCCCTGAGGAGGATTATGCGAGAGTGTCTGTTAAACAGCCTCCGCTGATTGCTAGAACTCCTATGAAATTGGTGAAGTGAACTCTTGGGTTTGATCCTAATAAAGAGCCTCCAATTGTCCCTATGTTGATTAAATTACCTAATCTTCCAATTCAGTACTATCATCAAAATGTTCTCTTTAACATCAGTCGAGCTCTTCATTATCCTTTGAAGGTAGATGCTCCAACTTACAATATGGCTAAACATGCAGGGGCTAGAGTTCTAGTTGAAAGTGATATAACACTTCTAAATGTTGAGAGGGTCTAGATTGTATCTGAAGAGGAAGGTTTCTAGCAGAGCATTATGGTAGAGCAAAGAACTATTTATTGTCCTCATTGAAGAATGTTTGGACATAATTTGGAAAAATGTTATAGACTTCATCCACCATCAATAAAGAAGAATTCTGAAAGTTATAAGGAGAAGGCAGTTGCAGCTAGTCAGTTAGAGGCTGCTGAAAATGGGGGGGAAAGGGTTTCAGGTGATAAAGCTTTAGTCACAGACATTGATAATGCTACTCACCATAAATCTGATTTGAATAACACTACAGTAGTTTTTACTGAGATGGAGGACATTACTTCATTGATAGTTAATTGTTCTTCTGCTGAAAAGAGACATTTAGAGGATAATATACAAAATGAAAGATTATTAGATATCAATCCACATAAGATTGATGACCCTACACTTAACAGTCTCACTGATGTGTTAACTGATGAATGGAAAGTTCAAAAAAGTAACAGTAAGAAGAAAGGGAGGTTGGAGTTAAAACAACTGCTGGAAGTTCAATCCTTGGATGGTCCTTCCATAATTCCACAAGTTGAATCTCATCCTAGAACTAGAGGAGAGGGGAAAACCTTTTATCAATGATCAATTTTTATGTTGGAATATAAGAGGAGTGGCCCATCCCTCCTTACTCAAGAGACTAAAGTATCTCATCAGAACTCATAAAATTTGGTGTTTTGCTCTTCTAGAGCCCATGGTCACAAAATATCCTCAAAACATTGTTCAAAAGTTTCCTAAGTTTACTCACTTTGCTAACTTGAATAATAAAATTTGAATTTTTGCAAGATTTGAGCTACAGTGGTCTGTGTTACTTAATCACTCACAATTCCTGCATATCCAGTTTTCTATTGGAGCTCATGTGGGGTATGCTACTTTTATATATGCCAGCAGCTTAGCTAGTCAACAACAGACCCTTTGGCAGGATTTACTGCATCTGGGTCAGTTTATTGATTCCTTCTAGATTTTTGGAGGAGACTGTAATTGCATTACATCTCCTACTGAAAAAGAGGGGGTAATACTCCTTTGACTTCATCCATGGCCAAGTTCAATGATTTCATCCACAGTGCTACACTTTTTGATCTGGGCTTTCAAGGGCCTCAATTTACATGGAGGAGGGGCACCCTGTGGGAGAGGCTGGATAGAATGCTGGTCAATTCTAAGTGGCTCCAAACTTTTCCTTATACTATTGTCTCACATCTTGCTATGACTGGGTCTGATCACAGACCCCTACTTTGCTCCATTCAAAACTCATCCAGCCCTGCAGGTACCCCCTTTAGATTTCAAAACATGTGGACTTTACACCCTGAGTTCCTTTAGAAAATTGACAAGGCTTGGATCTCTGAACCTAATGGTAATCCTATATATATATGAGTGTGTGTGTGTGTGTGTGTGTGTGTGTGTGTGTGTGTGTGTGTGTGTGTGTGTGTGTGTGTGTGTGTGTGTGTGTGTGTGTGTGTGTGTGTGTGTGTGTGTGTGTGTGTCTCACATATATATATATATATATATATATATATA